ACAACCTGTGCGATTTCTATTCTAGGTACTCTGCTATTCGATAAAAGTGCACCCACACCGTTTCAATTTCGAAAAAGGCTTAAGGACCACGGCCTTCTCGGCCTCCTACGGGCAGCTACCGGTCCTACACGGTCCTGGCCCTTGCAAGGCCCCAAAACCTCAAAATGCCAACCCTCCCGACGACCACGACGTTGAAATTTGATTGACGTTGAAATGTCTCAGGGGGGAAAACGCAACCCTGACGGGCTGCGAACTGACCTCCAAAAAAAAAGTAATTGTATTGGAATACAGGAGTTTTTTCTTTTGGAAATCTGAATAGAAAGGGTACATGTTGTGTTCAAATACAAGGGGTACGTTTTCTACTCGAGGAAATCTGCTATTCGAGAAGAGTGTACCCGCACCGTTTCAATTTTCGGAAAAGGCTTAAGGACCGCGGCCTCCTCGGCCTCCTACGGGGAGCTACCGGTCCTTCGCGTTCCTGGCCCTTGAAAGCCCCAAAAACTCAAAATGCCCACCCTCCCGACGACCACCGACGTTGAAATCTGAGTGACGTTGAAAATCTCAGGGGGGGGAAACGCAACCCTGACGGGCTGCGAACAGTGGGAGTTGGTGCCATGCTTTCAAAACACGGATCCAAAAATAGTCCTTCGTGAGGTCGTTGCGGACTATACCCCAGCCCGAGGTCTGATGAGTACCGAAGCGTCGTGGTATGGAACTGAGGCAGTCTTCCAGCAAGGTCAGGGGGTTAACAACTTGTGATGTTTATGGGGCCAGTCGAGCAATCTGTTCCAGCGCAACGGCCTACCAAGGGAGGTCCTGTGTGAACACCAGCCTCCTAACCCACTGCACCATTAGCGTTGTGGTCTGGGTAACCCGGTCCAAAATCCCCAGGCCCCCTTTGTCCTTGGGCTGAATTACCGATAGGCAAGCCATCCTGGTTGATGACGTTCGGAAGCACGCAGTTACCTCTCCACAGCAGGGCAGTTATTTGCCGCTTGAGTGACCGAACTGCCTCCTTGCTAAGGGCCCAAATTGCAGATTTGCACTAAAGGGCGGCCAGCACTCGACTGTTGATCACTAGCGCCCTGCCAATCAGGGAAGTGTGTTTGTCGTTCCAGCGCGCCAACTTCTCTAGAGTGGAGTTGAGGATCCAATCGTCGTTCGACGCAGGTTTTCCTGATGCCGTCAGCATAAGTCCCAACACTCACTGGGGCCGCGCCCCTTGGTGGTGAATCCACCACCCCAGGATCTTGTTACCCCAATTAACGGTCATGTCTGATAGGAGAGACTCAATCTGTTTTTTCTTGAGTAATGGCAGTTTAAACCAACACTATATCTGAATGTGTCATCGGCCCACTCGCATGTCCATAAATAATGATGAACCTTGAATACAGTTCAGTGGCCAAACGCTGTGGCAGGGGGCAGATGTTCTCCATGCGCCCACCACCTTTTGATCTGCTTGACCAGCCTTGTAGAATCCTGGCGGGAAACTGGGAGATTCAGTGGCGGTTTTCACAAAGAGGAAGAAAATCTCTGAAGCAACCCAATTAGTCCCATCCATCGTACCAAAGACTCCGAGTCGTCAAGAAACCTTAGCTCTTCGGTGGATTCTTGAAGGCGCCTTGTGGAGATGGCGGTTGACGAAAAAATAACATGGTTATGATCCAGACTTTCGTATCCCAGTTCAAGCGCCTGGTCTGCAGACGTGCGGATCCCAGTCTAGACATCTGGTCCTGCAAGTCCAGAAGAGGATTTTCTCTTTTTTTTTTTTCTTTTTTTTTTGGGTGGGTGGGCTGGGGGGGGAAGTTGTATATCAAACCACCACTACCTCTTTTCTCCGAGGTGGAGGGTAACTGCAGACCAAGCTTTGGCCGAAGCGCCAGCGAGGTGATTTTTGTTTTGTTTTGACGGGCACAGCCAGCCTTTTTGTCTGGTACTGCCCGGTCTCTGCCGGCTTCTGAAGAATGCGGTAGAGGTTGCATTTACGACTTCGCCTTCCAGCTAGTGGTGGTTTAAATTTTAAAGGCACAAACCCTCAAAAACAGGTTTTGGGGTTTTTGAACTATTTTCCGACCCTTTCAGGTAGCCAAAGACAGCCGGGCTGAGAGAGAGAGAGAGAGAGAGAGAGAGAGAGAGAGAGAGAGAGAGAGAGAGAGAGAGAGAGAAGGGGGGGRGGGGTACAGGTTCCGATACCGCCTTTGAGGTAGGTATGGGGCAATTCACCCCTGTTTGTGAACCTTCCATGACTTTTTCTTCATTTCTTCTATTTTTCTTTTTCGTTCGGCATTTTCCAGCAGCCTAGCTCGGTTGGTAAGGCACGCAAGTGGCATTCAGGAGGTCATGGGTTCAATCCCCATCGCATGTACCTTCCTGGGCAAGCATGGTCCCCGCCACCTAGAGATAGGCTGTTGGTTCCCCGGAGC